CACGGTAGATTGGACTTTTCATTTAAGATCGAGTATTTTGACAAGTACCACAATCTGTTGTAGACTGGGTAAAGGGTTTACACAGAGCTCCTTTGATGTTCTTTTGAATACAACTCACTGAAAATCGTGAGATTTTTTTATCCTTTTTCTTGGACTTGTGTGGGGAATTAGCTCAAGTGGTAGAGCGCTTGCTTTGCATGCGAGAAGTAGCGGGATCGATGCCCGCATTCTCCAGAATGTTCTTGTCTGTAGTGCTCAGTCATTTAACTGTCCCATCACGGATGAAGAATCTTGTGTAGTACTCAAGTCTCCCTCTGCAGTTCATGTGCATGACTAAGTACCAAAATGCATTTAGACATTTTGGTTCTTTACTCTGTCATGAGAGTACATAGCACAACTGAAAGAATAAGCAACTTAGCCTTGGACAAGGCTTATAGATGCCAGTGTGATCATTTTTCAACTGTACATAGTAGACAAGTACCAAAGACAAAGTTTCTGAGGTCACTTCACAACCTAAATCTTCCGACGAGGATGGTATTNGNACCNANGCATGCAGAGCACAATGGATTAGCAGTCCATCGCCTTAACCACTCGGCCACCTCGTCCTTGTTTCTGTCTCGTACTGGTTTCTGTCTCGTACTGAAGGAGAGACGATCAAGCTTTGCACAGAACTCTTTGGATGGTCGTTGGAACGGACCCTACCTGAAACCCTGAGGTTTTCTGATTAAATTTATTTGCAAGCTGTGGGGAATTAGCTCAAGTGGTAGAGCGCTTGCTTCGCATGCGAGATGTAGCGGGATCGATGCCCGCATTCTCCAGAACGTCATTGTCACGGTAGATTGGACTTTTCATTTAAGATCGAGTATTTTGACAATTACCACAATCTGGTGTAGACTGGGTCAAGGGTTTCCATAGAGTTCATTTGAATAAAATTTCCTTAAAATCGTGAGATTTTTTTATCCTTTCTCTAAGACCTATGTGGGGAATTAGCTCAAGTGGTAGAGCGCTCGCTTCGCATGCGAGATGTAGCGGGATCGATGCCCGCATTCTCCAGAACGTCCTTGTCACGGTAGATTGGACTTTTCATTTAAGATCGAGTATTTTGACAATTACCACAATCTGGTGTAGACTGGGTCAAGGGTTTCCATAGAGCTCCTTTGATGTTCTTTTGAATACAACTCACTGAAAATCGTGAGATTTTTTGTATCCTTTTTCTTGGACTTGTGTGGGGAATTAGCTCAAGTGGTAGAGCGCTCGCTTCGCATGCGAGATGTAGCGGGATCGATGCCCGCATTCTCCAGAACGTCCTTGTCACGGTAGATTGGACTTTTCATTTAAGATCGAGTATTTTGACA